AAATGCAAATGAAAGCACGAAAGGCGGTTGCTTAACCATCAGGCGTTGGGGATTAAAAAGGAGGTATATAGATGTGAAAGAATAACGCGTGGCGGAAGGGACGCCTCGAATTATTGTTATTTTTTTATCAAGCACCATCGCGGGTGTTGGGTGGACGTGAAACATTCAACGCCAAGGGATAATAAGGGCGTCTGTCATGCCAACGCAGAACTCTTTCAATGTGAGAGGCTCATCTGCATGCATTCAATATGAATTTGGTTTTGTATATACAAAACCCTCCCCCCAGCACTGCACTTTTGCTGGGCACTCCCTTCCATGACTGTTGTATTGGGGACGTTTGTCCGGAAGGATTGCCAGCTGCGTGCTGGCATATGCCCGGGCTATTAATGCCATGCTCACTTCGTAACCCTTTCAAGCGTGTGCTGGGGTTCCATTTTGCACCCCTCTGGCCGAGGTTCGTCGCGAATTATACCAATTTATACCCTCTTTTTTTCAGCTAGAGTCCACGCACTGCGCAATTGTAATTACAATATGTATTCCCCTGAGTATGACTATTTTGTCATACCGTCGAACCCCGCAACTTAACCGTTATCCGTTGCTGGACTAGGGTTAAATTGAGAAACAGTCAAGTTGCAAGACAATTCAAAAATTGAAAAATATAAGCACAAAAATATAAAAAAGTGGCACAAATCAGGTCTAATTTGGTGCAGAGGTCAAATTTCAAGTCAACCTTTCTGGAAATTCAACTGTCAAATTGATGGAGGTAAAATTGTGGGGTACCACCTCTATAACTTTGTGAACTTTGCATGATTTCTCATGGAAGATTATCTCAAATTTTTTTAACCAACTAAAATGTATCTGGGAGTAGGCTGAACACCTTTTGTTTTAACTTGGGTTCAGTAATTGCCTTATGCTGCAATTTTTGTTACTGATATTTTGGTCTTGTTATTGAAGGTAAGAAAGTGTATTTATGTACATCACTTGTGAAATTTTACATTTTAGGGATGTATTTTATTTCTTTCAATATCCATATATACAGCTTATTTCTCACTTTTTTATTATGATGAGATGGACTGTGTTTGCATGAATGTTGGTTGGGAAGGAAGGGGGTTTGGATGTGGAAACATTGCTTGAATCTTGCGAATGTTGAAAAGCAGAAAATAAAGCTGGCTGTTCACTCAATATGGTCATGTATTGTCATTGGGTGCTCAGATTTCAATTGCCATATGAAAAAAACACAGAATGAAGTTATATTATGCAATGTGAGGGTACCAAGAAGTTGAAGACAGCACTGAAGCTTTTGATACTGTTTTTTGTTCATCCAGGGAAGAGAGATTACTAATGTAAATGATATATTTTTTCATGCAATGCAATTCTTGACTAGCCCTGTCAACAAAAGCAGGCATTTGAACAAGAATCTTTAGAACTGCAAAACACACTAACAACACTCCGGCTTCTGGAGAAGGAATTTGTTGAAACTGTTCAAGATCTGATTTTCAACATGTCATTCTTTGTACAGAGCTGCAAAGCAAAACCAGAATTGAAAAATTGTTCCAGGTGGTGAAGGGTGATCTGAAAGGGATTGATTTGAAGACAGCAGTGAGAGCATACTTTCCATTGTCAAAGAGCACCGCAATCAACTAATTCTCTTCATAAATTTTTGATGGATT